TTTAGATTAAAAATGTATAAGTGGATTTTAGTAGGGTTTATATTTTTAAATCAAGGTCCCTAATTTCCAGCTTTAGCCGTGACAAAAATTATAAAAATTTATCTTTTCTAAATTTATTAATTTTTGTTAATTTATTTTCATTTAATTAATATACATTGGGTAGATACAAACTATTCAATGAATTGGTATTATGAAAATTTTGTAGTTTATTGTTCAATGTCTAGAGCAAGAGATGTTTGTGATCAACTGTTGGTCTTTGTGAATGTGCTGAAGTAGATTTGACATCTAACCCAAATTCTGGTGACATTGTACCACTAGTTATGAATTCTATAGTCTAGCATGTAACTTGCAATTTTAATATGAAGTAACTAAAAGTATATATCGAATGTCATCGAATAAATCGGATATTTACTCGGATATAATAGGTTTGATCAAGTGAATATCCGAATCGCTAGTTTTTAACCGGATCAGATCTCTAAGTGTAACCTCTTCAAAAACTTCAGGATGTTCTTTCCAAGTACCATCATGTTTTAATGGCCTTTGTATACTTTTCAGTTTGATTTCTATTAAAGGTTACCACAAATTCTTTACACATTTTCTGAAACATTGGTAAGTTTGAAGGTACCAATCGTCGCGCAGGTTTCAAAATTGCTTTTTTCATAGGGCGAGAAGGATGGTTCACTAAATCCGAATCATGATCAATTATCTGGTTTGCGAATGAATCGCTCCATCCAAGACCGGAAGCTGTCACACTCTTTAGACCTAAAGTCAATTCCTGAGAGTGATGACGAAATCTCTAGATAAATATTAGTATAAATTTATTATTTGATTATTAGTGAAACTAAAAAGGCCAAAAATCTAAGAATTATCCAATAGCTTTAACTTTATCTTCTGAAGGTTGGCATCAATCTGTTCGAAGATGAAGGTTCTTTAATGCTTCAATGTTAAGTAAACTATGAACCCCTCGTATGCTATCTCAAACTAATAAAAATAGATTTAGATTATGTTATTATATCACAAATTCGGTTATTGAGATTCGTTCTATCGAGGTTATATATCTTAATGAAAATTTTATCTTTTTAAAGATATAATCAAGATAATTATTACGTTACTAACCTTGTACACATTTAAATATATTTAAATAACGATAAAAATCAGTGATTAATAACATTACTAGGAATCGGAGCCAATGTAAGTCCGGAGCATAAAGAAGAGAAATTAATAATATCTGTTAATTATAATATAAAATTTAAATAAAGTCGGTGCCATGTAATTGGACGAACGAACAGAAAATTCGAAATTGGTAAAATGCAACTTTTGTATCACTGAGTATAGAATTTAAGATTTCTTAGAACAATTATTTATAATATAACGTATCGTAAAATAAAAACTTATTCGATATTAAACTTTTAATATATATTTTAAGTTTATTAAAAGCTTTTACTAAAACAAATATATACTTTGTTTAATAATAATTAAAATAAGCTATTTAAGATATTGTTAATGCGTTTTTATTTAATTTATAAATAACTTTATAATAGTTAATATAAAAAACTTATTTATAACAATATTTAAACATAAAACTGTTATAATAAAATTTAAACAAAACTTTATTTATAATAATATTTAAACATAAAACTTTATTTATAACAATATTTAAACGTATAACTTTATTTCTAGCAATATAACAATATTATTTAGCATATACAAATTTATAAATCAACAATATAATAATATTATACCTTTTATAACTTTAAAACGATCGAATTTTTTTAACCAAATAAACGACGAACCTTCAACTCAGTAAAAAAAAATAAAAAAAATAATGTGAGTAATTGAAAAAACCTAAGTGCCCCAGGAGGTCGCATGTCAACACGCGATAGTAGTAAAAACTATTTTAAAACAATATCCCAACATTATTTTAAAATAGTTCTCCTCAGGTGACCACGTGTATTCACCCAAGGCTACCACCGTCGAAGGTGTAACCTGGAAGCCCAGGAGCGGTTACCAAAGGGGCGTCAAGTTAATATATTAACGTAAAATCAATTACTCATCTCTTACGCTTTTTCAACTCAACAACAAATTTGGCAAACGACATTACACATGCCAAAATATAAAAAGTATATAATAAAATGTTAAAAAAAATGCGCAAAATATAATAATATATAAATTTGAATAAAGAATAATAAAATTTGATATGAAACAAGTAATAAAGATAGGTAAAAGAAAAAAGTAGTCCTTATATACTTTTTTTTGTTGACACGTTCATTGTTTTGTGATCGCGAATTTACAAACCAAAAACACAAATAACCACGATAAAACGCGATATAAATTAGGTAATCATGACTGAACACGGTAAAAAATGGATGAACACGGTATAAATTAGGTAATTATCAATGAACGCGGTACAAATTAAGTAATTACTACAAAAATTTCCAGCATATGACTTATCAATCAATTTCTATGATCATAAGATAAAACAAACTGTAATCTAATTGGTTAACGTTCGCGTGTCAGTTTAGTAATGAAGCTAGTAAGGTTCCGCGATTTGATTTGATCAAATATTTGAGTTCAAATCAAATTCAAATATGAAATTTTATTAAGACAACTGATTTTTTCGTTCTATGAAACTAGGGGTATTTTATTTAGAAGAACACTTTTACTTAAAAGCTCATGATCGATTAACATAGTAAACATATTTGTAAATTAAGTTTCTTCTTTACCGATCAAAATTTAAATTTTTTTTCAAATCAAATCAAATTCAAATATTTGATCAAATCAAATCAAGAGTATATTTGATTTGACCAAATTCAAATTGACCCAATATCTGTTTTGATTTGGATTTGAGGAACCCTAGAAGCTAGGTACCGTAAAACCTATGATAGCTCATAGGAGAACTTTCGTTTGATTGGATAATTCGAATCAATTGCACGTCAGTGACTAAAGTACCTCCTGTTTTTAAGCACTTTTATAAAACATGATTCCTAATAAAAAATTTTCGCAAAAACCAATATCCACTATACTGCTATAGGTGTTTAATTAACTAAAGCTAGGCTAGGTGTACTAAGATGTTTAGAATCTCCAAAAACCTTATGCTAATCTAAATTTGGGCCTTTATATTTGACCCTATCTTAAGTTTATAGTTGCACTCTAACCTTAAATTTTAGCCAAAAAATATAAACACCATAAATACTATAGTAAAACTTCTATAAATGCACGCTCAAATATATACATGGCCTCCATAAATGCATTTTTCTTATTGTTCTCTAAGTGCACGTCTTTAAAACTCGATGTGCATTTATAGAGGGTGCACTTATGAAGGCTTCACTGTATTTAGAATGTGCAATATTACAAATCTGCTGACATGTTACCAAATTTGCTTATAGATAAACCTTTTCGAACCATAATATGAGAACGTATTTTTCATATAAACATTCTCAATACACATCACTGGTTATATCCACATCTCAAAAAAATAAAAATATCGTCCAATATATCCAGTTGTTGGTTTAACCAGACGCATTTTCATATTAAGCATATAGATCCAAAATTTCAAAAAATATTGGTATATCCAGATATCAATATAACCAGAGTGACATGTAATATATTGTTAATATAAAATAAATAACCAATCAAACCAAGGTTTTATCTATTATCCTAAGTTATTAATATATTTTATTTTTTTATATCTTACAAAAATCGGGTTCAACATTGGTTCTAAACCAAATCAGGTTTTAACTTAGGTTTGCAATTTATTATATAAAACCTGGTTCTTGTGTTTTAAATTTGGAATCTAATGGTTTTAAAACCTAAACTAACTTTATCATTCCTCAGTACCAAAGAATCGTAAACTACGATCTAGACCACCAACTACCAAATACTTGGCTAGTTCTCCGAATTTCATATCCATAATTTCTGCGGTATTTTCGGAAATAACCGCAAGTTCATTCCACGTTTTAGATTGATAAATTCTAAGAAAATGTATATATTATCAAATATAAATGAATGGATAATCATTTAATAATTAAATGAAAGATAATGACCACCAAATAAATAAATACAAACCTCATGTCAGTTCCACCGACAGCTAAGTAATGTCCACTATAGTCCCATACAACCTTATTAATCTTTCCTTCATCAATGGTCAGAGTATGAAAATTCGACAATTTTCTAAGATCCCATAATTTTACCAGGTTATCCTCTGATGCAGTTGCCAAGAAATAGCCGTTCTCTGAAAAAGAAATCGATGTGACGCGACCAGTATGACCAGTAAAAGATGCAACATTTTGTTGAGATTTGACATCCCAAATGCGAACAACGGAATCATTCGTTCCTGTTCCCAGGATGAGACCATCAGGATGAAATTCAACAGTTGAATATCCTATATTTCAAAAATTGTGATTGTCCATAATTATAAAGTTTGCACAATTCAAGCCTAAGTAAAAAATTTAAATAAAATTAATATAACATACCATCGTTTACTTCGTTACTTTCGACTTTAACCAAAGTTTGTGCTGTTTCTATATCATGAAACGCCCATGTCGAGTCATGTGACACTGACACTAAATAATCTTTTGTGGCATGTACGGCAATACCAGTGACGTCACTAGTATGTGATGTAAGTGTTTTTTCCGTTTTGTATCCTAATATTAATTGAATTTAAAGAAAATGGCATGAACGTCGGAATATAGATCAAACTGAAATTCAGGTAATTAAATACCTTTTGCAGCAGGTCTCCAAATTCTGATAGTCTTATCTGCACTCGAAGTGAACACAGTGTCTCCTTGCTCAGAATCAGTTCTTCCTAACCATAATACATCTGTGACCTTTTTAGTATGACCCTTCAACAAATTTTCAACTTTATTCCTCTCTCTGTTAAATATTTGCGCTTTCTTATCGTTTCCTCCAGTAAGAACAAGATTTTCAGTTTGGTCAAGATCTAAACAAATTATTCCTGGATTTGATGTAGTATGCAAAGATGGAACAACCGTTATCTGTGTAAACTCTTTGATTGTATCTGCAGGGGTGAGATCAGGTGGTGCCTTTCTTTTCTTACGCGCTTTCGATAAACTTAATTAATAAAATATTAATGAATTTCGTATTGTATAACAAATTATACATATATATATATTCAAATAATTTGGCATACTTCGCACTGGTTTCATTTAATTTTTCAATAACTGTATCATTCACGCCCTTTTTCTCCTCTTCTATTTCCATTGCATTTGCTTCTGATGCAGCTGCGTCTGAAGGAGGTTGTACAGCAATATGAGCTTGAACATTTGCTAATGCTCTAATAAAATAATTAGTGATTGATATTATAGTCACTACATACAGAGATAATCATAAGCATAGACAGTAATAATCACAAAAAATTACTCTCTAGCAGCATCTCTTTCTTTCATCAATCTAGCAATGACTCTACATGCAGCATCATACTGGTATAGAGCGTGACTCAGTTCCTGACGAACTTGTTGATATTGTTGTTTAAGAGTAAAAGTCTCCAACATTAAACTATCCCATTCATTTTGAAAAACAGCCAATAGAGATGGGATTGATGTCAAAGTAGGAGGTCGAGGCTTTATAGTTTTCGGGCCTAATTATATCAATCAATCAAAGCATAATATTAAATAAATTCTTATCAATATATAATACGTAAAATTAAAATTTTATCAAAATTTTGCCTAAGGTTCAGATAAAAATATTCTAATCAAATATAATCAGAAACAGCTTCTAGTTGTTTTTTTTTTAAACTCATCCTCCACCGATCTTTGAAGGAAGTTTTATTAATACATACTTGTTTTTACTTCTAGTAAGTCCTCCTCCGTGATATCCTCTCCATTTATAGGATCTTTTCCGTAATCGGCAATGTATTTCACTATCAATCTCTTTTCATATACATGACCAGATTTTTTGGAGATTACTGGTTCTTGAGGTGGCTCACCAGAAACTAAATATGAGAGTTAAACTGTTAACCATGGGCTTTTAGATTTAAGGGTGTCTCTACTTGATGAAAGTTTACTTACGATTACAAAACATAACGGTTTTTTTTTTTTGTATTTGCTCTTTTGCAGAGACAACCTTACGCTAACTCAAAAATTTAACTTTTATCAAATTGAATATAATTGGTTACCAGTGTTGTACGCCAAACTAAGGATTGCATAAATGCTTTTCTTGATGCGTTTATCGAAAATGCTATTGCTATTGCTATTGCTATGTACGTTTTTAGTAAAATTTTATTTAACTAAATTTACATACCGATACGTACGTAATTACTTGATTGGTCAAGGAAAAATCTGTGTCATCGGGCTTTCAATTTTATCTTGTACCGGGCGCAATCAATAATAAATCAAATACGAGACAAAATATAATTGAAAGCCCGATGACAACGACACTAGCATGACCAAGATCAGTTACGTAATCGGTATTTAAAATTTTGATTACGACTAAAATTCGATATCCTCTTAATTAATTGAAAGTTTACTTTAAGCGACTTTATTTCCTGGTATGAAAAATGTATTTTTATTCCATCCATTCCATGTTATTGGATGACTTTTTCGCACGCTTCTATCATTTATCATTTTTTGAATCAATATTTTTCAAATATTGTTTTTTTTTATTATGGAAGGTCAAAAGACTTTTCGAGATTATATGTATATCCAACAACTTCTATGTGAATAAAGTATAAAGCCCGGGCGTTGCTCCGGGTTTAATCTTAGTTAATCAAAGTTTACTTAGGGTTCAAATAAATCTGAATTGGGTTTACTTGAACCTTATTAGGTTCAAATAAACCTATTCCAGGTTCACTTGAATCAAAATTTGGTTCAAATGAGTCTAAATTGGGTTCATGTGAACCCGAATTAGGTTCACTTGGACTCGGTTTTGTTCAAGTGAACCTGAATTAAGTTTACTTGAACCCGAATTTGGTCCAAGTGAATCCGAATTAGGTTCAATTTTGGTTCAAGTGAACCCGAATTAGGTTCACTTGAACCCAGATTTGCTTTAAGTGAACCCGGATTGGGCTCAAATGAACTCGAATTTGGTTCACTTGAATCCGGATTGGGCTCAAAGGACCCCGAATTAGGTTCATTTGAACCCGGATTGGGCTTAAATGAACCCGGATTGGGTTCATTTGAACCTGGATTGGGTTTGTTTGAACCTGGATTGGGTTCATTTGAACCTAGATTAGGCTCAAATGAATCCGAATTGGGTTCACTTGAACCCGTATTGGGCTCAGATGAACCTGAATTGGGTTTACCTGAACTCAGGTTGGGTTTAATAAACCAGGTTAAATTTTTTTACTTTTTGTCTTTATTTATTTTGAATTTTATCATCTCGCCCATAAGATCAGGTGTAACGTGAAATCAAAACAACCAATTAACGCATTAATTTAGGGTAAGGGCCAGAGTTAAGAGGATTTACTTATTTCTCTGTTTTTTTCGCTAAAAGTACGTGAAATTTGACCAGCATTAGGATTAGGTTTAGGAACAGACTAATTAGTGTTCTATAGTAATATTTGGCCAGGAATTTTTTTTATTAGAACGTAAAAAGTGATTTCTTAGGCAAAATTTTGAGTTACCGGCAATGTTTTGAAAAACCATCGATTTCACGTTACACGAAGGTTGCATCTGATCTTGTGATCTACGTAGTACGATTTCACGTTACACTTGATCTTACGATCTGATTGGTTGATCAGGTGGTGCGTTACATAAACTTTAACTGGGGTATAGCATGATCTACATGGGTGCGAAATTTTTATTTTACTATTACTGTATTATGTATAATCGTTATGCCTCAAGACTATTCTATCTCATACTATATTAATAAAAAGTCGATATTCTATAAACTTGGTTATACCTATAGCTATGGATCTCTTGGCAACTGAATATCTATCAAGTGAAGAGGAAGAATCAACTTCTTATAAGCGCACCAATCCGAGTAATACTTCACAGATTGCTAAACGTCCGAAAATTAATCTTGCTCCTCACGTTAGCTTGGAGGTTTGTATACATTTTCACCTTGCTATTTTGTCAAGATCGCGCAATGAAAACAATTTTATAAAAGCTTTTTTCAACAGATCTATACATATTTTGCAAAACGCGCGTTACTTTGACTCCTCGTTTAATCTAAACTACCCCTCGTTTTCATACTTTTATAAAGGTTTCTACAAATTTATGTAATATGGTTGAAATTTCCCTCTAGGATCCAAAACTCTCAACTTCTATTTACACGAAACCAACTGACACTCAAATAACTGTCAATATCCCTTACGAGGATTTAATTCAACCTGCCGTTGGTCCTAATAATCCATTCAGTACTCGAGTAATTAATCAAAATGTTCTCACTGGCCATGTTGAGGAACAAGCTTATTCCGAATTTGCTTTTAGAACCCAACAACGTACTTTTACCTCCTTTGGTTATGCTGCTGATCCTTCCCTTGTCAATACTAGTACTGGTGATGCTGTCAATACAGGTTTCGTTGGTGATGTTGAGAAAGCCTTGGCCATGAATGGTGCTACAATATATGATCCAACTCCTAAATTGGAAAATGCTCCTAAAAGAAAGTCCAAAGGTGATTCTGCAATATTAGAGGGTGAAAATTCTTATCAGGGTCCTTGGGCTGGTTATGAGGGTGAAAACATTGGCACTGCTGTTGGTCCTCCAGAGGTTCTTCTTTTTCTTTTTTTTAACTATGTCGATAAAATACTTTAATTTGTTTAATTCTCAAATTTTTGATAATTTTCCAATTCAGGGTGCAATTCCTAAAAAGGCCGATACCGATGTTAGTTCTAAAAAACAAATCGAAGTTGGTCAAGAAAAGACAACATTTCATGGTATGTTTATAATTTTATTATGAGAAGTCGATTTCAATTACTACATAATCTTCATCGTAATTTACATCTTTATAATTTTTAATTTTTAAGGAAAATCTGAATTCGATTATCAAGGTAGAACTTATATGCACGTACCACTGGACTTAGATGTAAATCTATTAGGGGAACCTGGTTCACAAGAATGTTTTATTCCAAAACGTTGTATTCATACATGGTAAAATAATATTGTTTATAGACTAAGTAACCCATTATTCATTGTATTTCTTTAACTAAAAAATTATTATTATTAGGTCTGGTCATACTAAGGGTGTTTCAGCAATCAGATTTTTCCCAAAATCTGCTCATTTAATATTATCTGCTAGTATGGATGCAAAAGTAAAGGTATTATAATTCGTGATTCAGTGAATATGGTCATATATTTATCATTTACTAATTTTGTGTTACATTCGCATATTAGATCTGGGATGTTTATAATGACCGTAGATGTTTGAGAACTTATATGGGTCATAATAAAGCTGTGCGTGATATTACATTTAGTAACGATGGAAAACGATTCTTGACTGCTAGTTATGATAAATATATCAAATTATGGGATACAGAAACTGGTACGAATATATTATATTTTTTACCTAACATATTTTTAGATTCTTATAATTAAATTTGACATTATATTTCGATAGGGCAATGCATTAAATCATTCACAACAGGAAAAATCGCATACGTTGTAAAATTTAATCCTGACGAGGATAAACAGCATATATTTTTGGCTGGATGTTCAGATAAAAAAATTGTGCAGGTAAGTCTCTATGATATATATGAATTTTTAACTTGCATATTTTGTTAATGATATTCATTCATTCGTCATTTGATTAGTTTGATATCAATACTGGTGAAGTTACGCAAGAGTATGATCAACATCTGGGTGCTGTGAACACTATCACATTTGTAGACGAGAATAGGCGATTTGTTACAACCTCAGATGACAAGACATTAAGAGCATGGGAATTTGATATTCCGGTAGTTATCAAATATATTGCTGAACCACATATGCACAGCATGCCCGCCGTAACTTTACATCCAAACAGTAATTATCATTTTATTTTCTGATATAAATTTTATATAAATTGCTCAAAATTATACGACTATTTTTTAGAAAAATGGCTAGCTTGTCAATCATTGGATAATCAGATTGTTGTATATGGTGCTAAAGATAGGTTCCGTATGCATCGCAAGAAGCGATTCACTGGACATTTAGTTGCTGGCTATGCTTGTCAAGTCAATTTTTCACCGGATGGAAGATTTATCATGTCTGGTGATTCTGAAGGTAGCATTTGGTTTTGGGTAAGTGTTTTTTTTCAACTTTTTTTCAACTTTTTTTTTGATTTATCAATGGTTTATTATTTTTATACACATATTCTTCTAGGATTGGAAGTCTTGTAAAATGCTTAAGTAAGTTTTTATTTGCATCTTATTTTATTATTGTTTATATATTCAATTTTACTAATTTTATGGCAATAGGAAATACAAAGCTCACGATAATGTTGTTATTGGATGCGAGTGGCACCCCCACGAAACTTCCAAAGTCGCAACTTGTAGTTGGGACGGATTGATAAAACTATGGGTTAGTCTTATGCATTTTCTCATGTTTATTAATTTCCTCATATTTATTAATATTTATGACTAACTTTCCTACTGGTTACAGGATTAGAAGTTAGAATCGAATATTCGAATAACTGAATATTCGAATCAATTCGTATTAAGTATGAATTTGAATTAATTCGAATATTCAAA